AAATAAGTAAAAAACCTTCATAACTTACCACAGTAGCAAGAATATCAAGCACAGAATTGCTCTCAGTGCTATAAAACAATTAGCTTTAACAAGAGGCAGACCAATAGCTAACACAGAAAACCTAAAAGACCAAACTTGTGTGGTCCTTGAACAGACATGTCATCTGTTAACATCTTACTAACACAGATGCTTAGGTCTGAGGTAGTGCACTGCTACAGACTAATGGTGTTAGCATCAAGTAGACTCATGATCACAGTTTTGTAACACAAACAAGAAAAAAAGAAAACAATGGTGAAAACCAGCATTAAGCACTCAAGTGTACTGAGAGTTTTAACTGCATACCAGCCATGTTACCACTTCATCTGTGGGCACTCTTTGTCACTTGAAGATGGAGTGCTTATGACTGTTCTTCACGTGGATAACTTAATACTGCAGGGTTGTAGGACTGTGTTGTACTCATAATAACATAATATGAATTTGTCACTTTGTCAGTTTTACTTTTACCTCTGCTCAAGAAGGTGAAGATAAATGAGACCCATGTGGGTGAGTCAAAGCAAAGCTCCTCCTCCTCCTCATTATCATATTGGTTACATAGGTAAACTCTAAATCTGAATTTCCTTTTAAGGGCACAAATGATGCACATCTGTGTATCTTTCTGGAATATGCTGGAATATGCAGTATACTACAAATAAATATATACAAGAATAACCTTTATGTGTTTATACATTTAAGTGTTGTAAATTGGGGCCACGCTAAACTGTAAAACTGTATCTTGATATCTGTACTTCATGAGAAATTATACATAAGGCAAAGTTCAGCTTCAATTTGAAAAGACTTATATCAACATAGAATAACCTTTACAAGGTGTCCACATTTTGGGATTTAAATAGTAAAAGGCAAATCAATTTAAGAATCATCTGAGATTCAAATAAAGCATAAATATGCCCTAAGATCATTCTCGATCTCGAGTGGATTTTGCATGTCCTCACAAGTTTTCTGCTCCTGTTTTCATATTTTTTTTTAATAATAGACGTCTAATTTTTATTTTTGCAAGGCATGTTTGATACCTCTTTGATAGAGTTGTGCTTTTTGAGTCTCATCGTTTTGTGGGTCCAGTGGTTTCTTTAGTGACACTGTCAACACTTTGCTCTTAATATCAGCAGACAACTCCTGAGTCTAAATGTCAACTCACTAGTCGCCACCAGTTCTTATGTGCATGAGCACTAAAAAGACACACAGCTGCCCAAGAACTGTGTTAAGAGGGATAGAAAACTCCTCAAACAGGCCTTTGAGTATTGATGTAAACCTCCACAAATTAATGCTGAGAGATTTAACGTATTACCTAATAAAACGAGAAAACCCACTGAATACTTATGGTATGGATTATGTTATTGTGTTGGAGCGTTTACTATGACTCATTCCCAGGTGAAAAAACGCCATGTGCACAAATAGGAACAATAAAAGGTCGAAAAGGTTAATAAGATTTATTTCATCATGTGAAACTTCAACCACAATCCTTACAGCACCAAACACCACCCCTCATTATAATATCAAACTACACTGTCATTATGTGTTTCTTTTTGTGCCTTTTGTGAGTCACTGTTTTTACTGTACAGGAGATATTGGATTTGCAAATCCAGTTTTGCATACTTTATTACCATAGAAACATGACATAACACTGAAAATTAGGTTTTTAGACTTTTTTTTTTTTCAAGTACAATTTTCTGTGTACTTACTTTACTTCTGGTATTTAATGTAATTTCTTTCATACCTACAACAGTGTTTGAATTTGTTGCATTTCACTGTCTTACCAAAACAATATGAAAACAACTTTCAGGGCCTTGTGAAAGAGGAAGGTCCCTTTTTGAAAAAGACCAGTGAGTTTTTAAACCTTCTGCTTTTATAGTCAAAACCTTAAAGATTACAAGAGAATTAACAACATCATCAGGACATTTAGAGCACACCAAATGGACTTGGGAGCAAAATACCTGACAGTGACACAAAACAACCCGCAAACCCCACAGAAAGTTATGTTAAAATAAAAGCTTAAAGACTTTATTCCTAAGGAGAAGGATTTTTAATGTGTATGTTAGGAAAAACGTGGAGGTTTAAGGCACTAAAATAGATATAATGTGCTTTAAGGAGGAGAGCTAATTCAAATGGGGGTTGGAGTAGGCTCCACAGATGAGAAATGACAACCAAGTCGGATGAAGCAGAGTTAGGTCTGCTACACTTTTAGACCGATCCAGCTAAAACTGTAGTAACTCACCTCTGGCCGACATCCACCTTGGGTCAGTAGCCACTGTAGGCATGCCAGGTTGCCTGTTGCTGCTGCGTCGTGCGCCGGGCTTGCCCCGTTAGTTGCCACACAATCGCCCGGCAGCCCTGCCTCCTCCACCAAAAACCGCAGGCAGGCTAACTTCCCCGCCCGGGCTGCGTGGTGGACGGGCGAAGCTCCCAGCGCATCCTTGACGTCGCTGGTCAGCGCATTTGCCGCTAATTGCACTTTTAAAGTCTGCAAGTCCCCCTGCCTTGCGGCCAGCAGGGTCTTGTCACCCTCCACCACCATGACTGCTGCAGATTGCGCGACTCCTTCCTTCCTTTGGTTGCCTCCGTTGACCCGATCACCGTGCAGATAGTGCGGATAGGGTCAGAGTTGTATTTATAAATGAGTGGATCATGTCAGTAGCCGGGTTAATTTTGGGGTGGGGTGTTGGTGGGAGAGACGCTTGGTTATCGCTCCATGGGTCTTCCCAAAGCGCTGTTCAAATGAAAGATCCCTTTATCGTTCATAGGTTTTTGTTTTCCAGGTAGTGCAATATTTACATGCTGAAATAAAACTTCATACCCGACTGACAAACTAACCTCTTTCTTAGGCTTTGTCTGGCCCGACGTTGTAGCTCAGTAGGTTATCCGCTGTCTGTCTCCAATAGCATCCACCTGTTGCACAAGTTGTGTTCTGGGTTACCAGCCGGTCTAAACTATCTTTTCCCCCCAAATTAGTTTATTAACCTTTTTTGCTGCTGAATAACTATCGCGTATCATGCGCCCCAGGGAATATTCCGCTGTGTTTTTCTTCCTATAGCAGATGGCGACATGGGACTCAGCGCCTGTTAAATAATCCATCAGGGGGAGGATCACTGAGCCTGTTACAGGTTGCTGCTTTCTGGAAATCGGCTCAGAAATTAAAGGAGCAGTACGTACATGCTACTTACAACTCTGGATATACATTAATTATGCTGCTGGGGTGAAGGTGCTCGTCGCTGCCAGTCAAGATAGACTCACAAGGAAACATTAATTCAGCAATGGACTTTTTGAACACACCCCAGATCCTGTTTGCAAACAGCATTAATATTACATGTGGCAGTGAAATCAGCATCACATGATCCGAGCATACTTTTGCACACTACAGAGGTCCATCTAGTGGCCTTTCACGGGAGTGTAACCCCCCCCTAAAAAAAAACAAAAAAAAAAAACACCTGTTGGGTGAGCACATAACTGCGCTGTAGAAATTCGCAAGTAAGCTGCCGCTAGACCTGCTTTTTCCTTTTTTCAAATGTTACTCTTGAACACATGCGACTTTTTTCTCTCCACCCTCCACCAAGCCAATATGTCCCAATAGGTTCCTCACTGAGATGAAAAAAAAAGTAACTATATTGATTGTTGTAGACCGCATGTTAATACGTCAATTGGCAATAGTTATACATCTTAAATGATGCCAGATTAAAAGATGAACAAGTTATTTCTGAGGAATAAAAGCTTGATGTTGAAACCGGATAAATCACGAGAAGTAGTCCTATACCGCTGTCCAATGATCGTTTATGCATTTTAGTGCATTTACGCCAGTGGTGTGTGTTTCGTTGTTTGGGTGCCAGACATGAAATAAAATAGCTTAAATTAACATTCCCTTAATCAACCACAACAAAATGCTGCTTGCAAGCTATCCAACACCAAGATAAGGCACAGATGCAGGACTCTTTGAAAAAAGTTTCATCTTTTACATTTGGAGAAAGTAAATATTCATCATAATGAAACGTATTGCAAGATTGCAAAAGCAGTTTTGTGATTTTTTTTATTTATTTATTTTTATTACATATACGAATGCAAATTTGTCTTCCAGCGATACTGAAGTCCAACCTACGTGCACTTTATGGAGAAAACCCACTGAGCCTTTGAATTCATGTGTGTTCAGTGTCTAATCAAGCACCTAGCCGCACTCTGACTTGGCAAATATTTGTGAAACAATGGGTCTTTCTGGAGCACGATTAGTGACAGGATGCCATTGAAATGTCTTGATGTTTCCCCCATGGAAGATGTTCCACGATCAACTAATTGTAAGTGGTTTTACTGAAAATTTGACGGAACTTCAGCAACTAAGACAAAGTTTCAGACCAAGTAAAGTTATGGAGCAGGGTCGTTGTACTGAATAAAAGTCTCCAAAGCTCTACTGACCCAGTAACTGCAGGGCTGCGAACCTGCTTCGGCATTACAGTAAGCACAAAAACTGTACAGGGAGCTCAATGGCATGGGCTGAGCAGCTCCTGTAGGTGCAATGTATAGATGTTCAGTAGGCCTACTCTTGTCCATAGTGCAAAAGCTACCTACTTTAAACGTTTAGCAGCTATACCTGCGGAAGGTATAGAAGCACATGTTGGTGAGCATTATCTTCTACGCGGCCTTACTGACAGTTTTAACAAAAGTTTCAAAGGTCAAGTTTCAATGCAAATGATGCAGATAGGCTGTCTGTATTTTCATGAACATATTGCAACGAACTGTAATACATTTCACCACCAAACGGTGGCAGGAAAGCCTCGTATTCTGCAGCTTATCTCCACCTGGAACAGGTGTTGATACCTCAAGTTATTTGAAAAATTACAAATTTAAATAAGCTTGCACACCGGAAGACTCAGATAACATGTCTTAAAAACTACAAATTTGAAAGTCTTCATTTTTATCTCCAAAAATAAGCAAAACTCAGCAATATGCTCCCCTAACTGCTTTGTAAACATACAGTCTTGGTATACACTGCCAGAGGAGGATTCAAACAAGACTATGCTATAGTTACAGCCTAAGACTAGGGTATTTAAATGATTAGATGTGGGGCAAATTTTGAAAAATAATGAAGCTTCACACCAGGTTAACTTTCTGCCAGACTAACTTGATTGATTTTTCCGCTCAGGCAACTTCTGCGGTATGCGGGTGGTTTCACTCCGGAGTATTTGCAGGAGGTGGTGGCGGGGGGCGCGGTATGAGCTAGTCTCGTGCTCGGCGCGTGCCTCTTCGGCCCATCTGTCTCACAGGTCCAACTGTCATGGACACCGCGCGCCAATTTGAGCGAGGAGGGGGGGAATTCCCACGAGCGTGCTAACTACAATTCCCCAGAGGAAATGGACAGTAATAGCTCTCAAACAGGCTGGAGATAAACGAGGGGGGAGGAGAGGTCATTTAACCTATAAGATTTTTGTAGCTCAGTCTAAAGTACATATATGTGGAACAAGTCCGTTAGCTCGGAAGCAAAGCACATTGTGGTCGTTTTATGGGCACTATTAAATCTTCGCACATTTCCATACGCTAGCACTGTTTGTTTATTTCCAGACACACTGCCCTGACTCACAGGAAAAAAAAAATGACCTTCAACTGAATATAACCTCAGCTGACTCTGAATAAAGTTTATTTTTTATTTATCACGAGACCCACAGTTTCAAAAACTGTCGACCTTCTTATAGTAGAGTATTTAACTTCTAGCTACTCACTAAAATTGGATTGTCCGTTTATTAAATACGGTATAGATTATTTGACTGCCACGCTAATCCCATCTCCTTGTTTTGGGCTTATTATTTCCCACTTTGGTAAGTGGACTCTAGACGTGAAAGACGGGGTACTTTTGTGCTGCAGCTGTAGCTTTTGATGATCGGTCTAACACAGGGTTTAATCAAGTGTAGGAAATTGTGGAGTCTTTTCCCAGACTGTTAAAAGACATTCCAACAACCTCAACCAGTGAGGAGCCAAATCCCTATTGAACTGGAAAGAAGCTGCCAACGGTTTTCCCCTCCCTCAGAGCCTGGGAAAGCTGGGATATTTCTTGCACGCGTCAGAAGTGCGACAGTTATTCAAATTGGACTCGATTATTCAGAGCGTGGGCCCCATCTAACCTATTGTGTGTTCACATCTGCTGCTGCGCGGGAACATTTAAATGAGATATTGTCTACCAAGTTCAAACCAACCTCTTGTAACCCAACAACTGAAAAATTCAGTATTTCTGACACAATAAGATCCCAAAATAATCTAGACGTGAGAGTTTACTGTGGTCCGTGACTGCCACAGCTAGTACACTTGTTTTTTTTATTATAAAAGAGGGGGAATCCTCTATAAATACTGGAAATTGTAACTTTAGCTTGACCATTTTAACCTGACGATAAATGCGTTATCATCTTTAATAAAGCTACCATATATTCATTCAGTTTTCAGTCTCAGTTTATCGTGTGAGGAGGCACAGTTTTGAAAACCAGTTTATAACTAGGCTATATGCCAGAGTAATAGCTCCCTGTCCAGCCTGCTGGTCGGCGCGTGCCACAGAGGAATTGCTTTGGATTGGGTAAACTCGGGCGCGTGCAGGGAAGGGGCCTCCGGTGTGCAGCAGGGCATGCTCAACCACAGACACAGGTGTGCCTTTATCATCATCGTGTCAAATCTAAAATTCCCAAACAAACAACGTAATTATGTAATATTAAAAAAAA